CATCTTCCACCAGTCCCTAGCTCTCCCTGCAGTGGGGGCAGGTTTTATTTGCTTGTAGGAGAAGTTTGTGGAAGGAAAATTTCTACTCAGTTCTGAGTTAGCCCCCTTTGCAGCTCAATCATAATGTCAGGCACAATTTCACCATCTTCTTCATCTCTTATGTTGCTGAATTTATTCTTCCTGTCTCCTTCGGTAGTGTATTCCTGCACAGTCAGAAAATCATCACTGATACACATATTTCACATTTGCCTTCATTCCTTTCCCATCTCTCTTCTGCCGCACAGAGGCACCTCAGACACTCCCCTGAACCCCATGCCCCCAATATGTTTATTTTCCATTTTTCTCTTCTACCTTCAATGCCTCTTTCCTACTCATCACATAAATATATGTTCTGGGGTATTTCAAAACCCAGCATTATGTACTTGGAACACTAGTGATTTGAGTGAAATGGAGAATAAATATAGCCATAATATGCTTTAAAATAGGTGAATTAGTTGAGCAGGAGACTTTTAATGCCATGTGGGTGGTCAGTAAAAAAGCAACAATTACCATGAGATGGAATTTGATATACCACAGTTATTTGCTACTCTAGAGATAGAGCAGTACCATGGTAACCTAGACTCCACTGTGTGGCAAGTGTTGTTAATTGTATAGATTTTTAATGGGGATAATTGTACTTCTCTTGTCTGAAATCAATTTTTACTGGCAGTGACCAATGCCCAGAAGGATATTCTCAAAGAGATGTTTCATGACCTACAGTTTGTACACCTCATATTTCTTGCTTATAGTGATAAAATTTCACCCCATCAGTGGAAGGGTGTACATTTTTACCTTCTGATAAATGCTGATAAGAAATTAAAATATTAAAATTCAGATGGATAGATAATAATTTTCACCATAGGTTAAGGAATGCTACATATTGATAGGCCAAGCCCAGAGAAAGGAAATTATCCTGTTTGTATTTGATAATTAATTAGATAACTTAATTTTCAAGTATTGTTATTGCAGCTTCTTTCTTTAGTGTGGAATTTAGTTTTTACTGAAATATCCAGGTCTATAATTACGGTGGATGGAAATTTTCTTTGGCAAAATCTACTAGCAGTGGATATTGCTTTGCCAGAATTTAACATTCAGGTCAGAAGTTCTCTGCTGTATGGCTCTGTTTCAGGTGAATATTCAAGTCTGAGAAAAAGATTAGGGAAAGTATGTTGTTAACAGTGTTTAAAAATAAATATACCTCTCAGCTGCTTCCTTAACAGCTCTTCAATGTGAAAATGAGTCTCAACAACTGGTCAAACTTCAAGCTTCTAGAAAAAAACCCAACAACATTTATTTATGCTCATTGGAGGCTTGTTATGTTTGTCAGAGTGTCCATGCTCAACCAGGTTGCACAGTTACACCACATTTCCTAAGATATGCAGCCCTATCACTTGAGCAGGACCTTGCCCCTGCTTGCTGGAGTTGACTGGATCTCTGGATATTAATAGAGACCATCTTTCTCCCCTGGTTCTGATAGAGCCCAAAGGACATGCAGCAGGAGGAAAAAGCTTCATACAGGAAGTCACCTAAAGATGGGAAAGAAAGGGTGTAAGGAACCTGGGCATGGAGAGCTCTGAGTGGGGGGTGGTGGCCAGAGCTTGTGCTTGACAACAAAAAAGCCACTTAGGACAGGGAGATAATAAGCACACACTTATTGATAGGTGTACATGCTCATCTTTAAAAATTATGGAAAAAAAAAATGAAAAAATTATGTTGGTCCAGAAAATGATGTATGAAATTGGCCACAAAATTTAGAAACATGGCAACAGTTAGATTCTGATTAAGGAGGAACATGTGGTATGGACACTATCCCCAGCTTTGAGGAGAATAACTAAATGAGCAGGAGTTGGATATAAGATTACACAAGTGTAAGAAATGTGACGAAAGGTGTGAATGAGTGCTACCTGAAGGGAGGTAAGAAAAGGAGAAAAATATTACATATTGGAAGGAAGAGGAAATCTCTTCCATCCACCTCTATTAATCCTAAACAAAAATAACTAGTCCTGAGTTCTGATTTCACTGCACTGTTTAACAAAGTAACTGTAACTTCCATTCAAACAGTTTTCCATCCCATGCACAGTAATAAGTTATGCAGAGGGTAACTGCCTTCCACCACTTCTGTGTGAAGATCTGAACAAACAATGCTATTTTTGCTTGTTCAATTCCTATATTTCCAAAACATAATGGAAATGCAGCTATGAAATTTAAAGTAAGCAGTGACATTCTGAATTTCACCACTCAAAAACTGCAAAATACCTGGATTAAAGCTGCTATGGCAGTTGCTATTGATTACAATCCATCCCTGTTCCTGAAAGTGGAGTTCCAGTTTGCCTAACCAGTGTAAATGAAACATAAATTTTATGGATAAAATTCCAATCTGGCAGAATTAATCAGAAGGTTTTCAGATTTTCTATTGATTAGATAGGGAATTTATTCACTAATTTTAACAGCCCTGTTTCAATAACTACCAAAAATTTATGAGCAAAACAAGTACTAGGACTACATCCAAAGGACTGCGCTTCACTTCTTATCCCTTTGAAATGAAAAAGTAATAATGCATGCTGAAGTGTTCACAATTGTACACTTCTGTTCCCTCATACTGTTCATGTCCCAGTCCAAAAGAAACTTTGCAGAAGGACCCAGATCTCTCAGCAAGTAAACAAAGTCACCCATCCAGTGCCCTGTGCACAAGAAATACTGCACAATATAAATGTTTTGGACAATAATTTTTTTTGTCTCACAAACTGCACAGTAGAGTTTTAGAAAGTAGAGAGTAGAGTAGAAAAATGTGATGATTTTTCACATCTTTGTTCTAGGTGCCCAGATGAAGAAAGGGAACTATCTGACTTTTTCTAGAAAACCATTGAAATTTTAGTGAGGATTAGTTAATTTATGCTGTAGTAACAGTCTGCAACTACAGTGAGGTTCTTGAGGATAGCCTTGCAGCTAGGAGGTGAAATTCACACTGAAGGTACATCTTTCTCATCTCAGTTTTTATGCTCCATTATATATTTTCTATTATAATGTGGAGTGGAGGATCAGAGAATAGAAAGCTGATGCATTTTAACAGGAAATGTTTGCTTTCAAAGAAGTAAACCTCTATTTACAGAAAGCCTGGGTAGAGTTTCAAAAGTATTTTTGTCCCTATAGCATCATATTATCTTTTATATTTTTTAATTGAATCCTCATCCTGGAGGCAATAGGTGCTGAACAAACTAGACCTCCCAGGTACAGCTGCAGTGTATTAAGTCTGGGCTTGAAAAATAGGAGAAAGTTATTTGGTGCTCAAAGATATTTACTTTAAATCTGTGGGGGGGTTTTTTGTTGCTTTGGGTTTTTAGCGTGCTTTTTTGTTTTTTTGGTTTTTTTTTTTTTTTTTTTTTTTTGTGAGGATAAGGGGAAGGAGAAGTTTGCTATTATTTCCTTCCCACAGCTACTTCATGAGAAGAGAGAAGCACAGGATGAAATGAATGGAAAGCAGAGTTGACAATATTTTTCACAGACTCTACTATAGCTGGCTAAATGCTATTAAAAAAACCCCCTGCCTTTGATGGAATTCGGAAATGGATTGCTATCAACTATTGTTCATTTACTGGAATTTGCAAATGGATTCCTCTCACCCATACTGTCTTCTAGTTGTGTTTGCTTTCTAGGGACATTTGTAGGATTCAATTACTATTGTGACTATTCACTGAGAATTTCAGAACAGCATGCACAAGTATTGAAGGAAACTGGGTATTACATTCACACACATGAATATGGGCACACTCAACACATTGGAAAAATAAATCAACACCATGTGACTCATCAAAGAAGTCATATCTAACAAAGCTCAAGAAGTGATTGGGGAATGTTCACAGAGAAGTGTTCCTGAGCAATTAGAAGTACTTAGAGAGGAAAAAGGATCTCTTTGAATTCTTTTGCATAATAAACTCAAGGAAACCTCAGTCTGCCCATGGAGATCCCATAGGCAGAAAAAGGGCTAAACTTACTGACTAAACTATTCATTGTGAATTATTCCCTCTGCTCTAATGTCTGCACGGCATGGAAGCATGGTGCCAGCCCTGCTACACACTGTAATTTTACTCTTCTAGGAATAAAGTGGGAATATACTGCTGGGCATGTTAAAGCACTCTGCAGAGGACATTATATATATTTTCTACATGTGACCTGCCTTTGATTTTTGTGTTGAAAATGGAGTTATCTACCTTCAGAGGGAAAATATTAGCCCTCAGACAGTGAAATAGGATTATATTTTTTACTTTATTTCTGTAAAGTGGTATTTGGTGCAAAAACTATATAAGACTGAAATGTAGAGTTTGAGAAGACAGAGGTCAACATGGCAAAATTTGGCCAGATAGTTTTTACATTTTTGGGCTGACCATGAGTTAATAGCTACTGATTCCTTTAGCAAATTCCTGCCTAATTGTAATTTTTCCTTGATTAAATTGTCCTTTATAAGGACATCTGTTCTGTTCTTTGCCAAGGTGTAAGATACAATCATATCCTAGAATTTGTAAAGTAGTTTGGACAACACAATAATAAATCTATTCTGATGATGAATCCTACAAAGGAGACATTGTCCGTCCCCCACCCAGCTTAGCACATCTCACTGTCAGGATATTTTTCCTAACACTGTGACTCTGCCTCTCTTCTGCTGAAGTATTTCCTATAATTCATCCCTTTTTCCAGCCCAGATCATTCCAGTTTCTTCACCTCCTTGGGACAACTGCATTGCTCCCCAATGGCAAGTGAGAACCACCCCTGCTCTGAGGACCAAGGTTTTGATGGGTGGCTGAGTACCAGGGAAAGTATTTGTTGCCACTAAGGGGTTCAAGAAAATTACCTCCTGAGTTACAATCTGTGCTACCCCAGCCTGAATTAAGGACAGTTTAAATGCTAATTCAAAGACATGCTTTACATGAGGGTAGTCACTCCACTCCCAGGGAGGAAAACTTTACCTTTCCAGATTTTTTCAGCATCTAGAAGTATATGAGACTGCTGTTCTGAGCTGTCTTGCAATGGGGCAAATTGCTGTCTGGAGAGGTAAAAAAAAAAATCAGTTTCCATAGCCTGGGGAAAAAGTTTTCATAGCCTGGGGATGACAACTCAAATCTAGACAGCAGATCTAAGGGGGTCTTTTAATATAACAGAGATATATTTTGTAAAGGTTGGAAAAACAGAGACTTGATTTGTAGAAATTAAATCTGGAAGAGAAACTGTGAAGAGCAGGTATGGTGCTAATAGTCTCCAGCATTGTGTCACAGAGAAATAATTCTGTACAATTGTGGAGAAACAATGGCTCAAAGAGGTCATATTTGCTGTCCTGGGCTTATGACCAGACATCTGCACACTGGTATGAGTGGATAGTCTGAGAAGAAAGGACTGGACAGAAGGCAGCAACCAAAGATAAAGAGATAAATGCTAGGGAGCCATCAGCTTTATGACAGTTGCTGCGACTGAATTAAATCATAGAGGAGTAAAACTCAGCGGGAGATGGGGAAGCATTGACAGAAAGTGGGAAGGCAGAGAGAATACTGAAGAAATTATTGGAACACTGGAAAACAAAACAACCAAGCATCAAGTTGTGGAAACCCATGGTGGGGAAAGGGAGAGTTGTGGGAGATGGGATGATTTGCTCTCATCTTCTAAGGGTTCCACATTCCCATGAATGCTTACAGCTTTTCATAAATTCACACACAAAACATAAGGAGCAGATTAAGCTGAACTGGAAAGGAACCACATTGTGGGGATGTAATAATTAAAGGCAGTTGCCGGGAAGCTGAAGTGTAGGGGAGATTGATTATAAATAGACAGAGATAGGTTTGCTGGAGTGGCTAACATGACAGTGATCCTGAGGGAATGGACAGCAGCTGCAGGCAAGTCCAGGACAGGGAAGGTACTAGTCCTCTTGCCCCACTCACCACAGGCAATAGCCCCAGCCCACATTGAATCTCAAAACAGAAAAGAGGGAGTGAAAAAGTCATAAACTGTGTACCTCTGAAGACAAAATAATCTGTGGCTGTGTACATTGTTTGTAATATTGAGAATGACATCCTGACTCACACTCCTTAGCAGCTTTATCAGTATAACCATCAGGGCTTTGGCCATTATAGGGTAAAGCTAGCATCACCCTGGGTAGCATCAGAAGAGACTGCTACCAGGAGGACCACCACTATTATTACTAGCTGCAATAAAAAAAAGCACTTCTTAAAATGTTTTTTCTACCTAATTGTCAAAACTGAATAATATTATCAGCTTTTTTATCCTTTGAGTATTTTTCTAATAAGAAAGCGCAGAGATGCACTGCAAATAAAAGCAGAAGATTCGAGGATGCAAAGCAATCATGCAAAATGACTTTCATATCAGTTTGATAAGCAGCTGAAATTTAATAACTACATCTCTCCTATGGTGCTGGATGAAAGTTTAATACTTTATGCTTTTGCTTCTTTCTTCCGCACGATGCTTATTCAGAATCATAACTTTTCCTTTTATAGTCACAGCAATGCTTAGGTGCGGTGGATTAATCGAAGCCTTACGAGACTCCAGTACAGTCCAGACTATAGTGACTTATAATCAAACCCTAGGAGAAGACTGTCAGGGGTCATAAGGGAAATGAGCAGAGATCCAAATGTAAAAGTAATATTTACCAAGGATAATGCACACAGATCTTACTGCCCCAGTAGGCAAGATGGAAGGCCAGTCTTTTACAACCCAGCTCCAAGAGATGCTGGATGCAGGAGATGCAAAAGAAAGAGGAAGGTAAAAATGCCTCTCAGAATTTGGCTCACAGATTTTGGCTTAAAATGTGATTCAAAACTCCAGGAATGTGAGACAAGGAAAATTAAGACACTAAATCGATAAAGTTCAGCTACCAACAAACAATTACAACACTGGAGGAAAAAAACCCAAAAAACAAAAAAACACCCAAAACAAAGAAACAAGAAAACAAAAAAAACCCAAGCAAAACAAAACACTAAAATCCCCCAAAAACCAGCACCCTCCCTTCTCATTTGCAAACCCGTGCTGGCAGCATTCAGTGCAGAGGCTTTTCTACCTGTAGGTGACAGAGCCCCCAGCCCGGTGTCAACTGCCCTACCTTGGAAACCAGCATGGGGCTAAAACAGCTGCACCGGGGACCTCTGAGCCCTGCCCGACAGGCTTTTCCGCTGTAAACTTGTGATGGGAAGGGTCACATGGACACAGGGTCACGGCCAGGCGGGCGTGGGTCAGGAGGAATCAGGGAGCCAGGTGAGGCGAGGTGGCCAGGGGCAGGTGAGCGGGCGGGGAGGCTGGCAGGGGCAGAGGACGGGGCAGAAAACAGGGGGAGGGGGCAGAGTGAGAGCAGAGAGCAAGCAGGGTCCTGTCAGATAGGGACAGGGGCTGGGGAAGGCTGCAGACGGGCTGGGGCAGGGGCTGGGGCAGGAGCAGGGACAAGGGCTGGGGCAGGAGCTGGGGCAACGACAAGGGCAGAAGGAGGGGCAGGAGCTGGAGCAGTGGCAGGAACAAGTGTAGAGGCAGGGACAAGGGCAAGGGCAGTGGCAGGGGCAATGGTAGGGGCAGGGACAAGGACGAGGGCAGGGACAAGGGCAGAAGCAGGGGCAGGGGCAAGAACAAGGGCAGTGGCAATATCAAGGGCAGGCACAGGGACAAGGGCAGGGACAGGGACAGCTGGGGCGGGGACAGGGACAAAGGCAGGGGCAGGAGCTGGGGTAGTGGCAGTGTCAGGGACAAGGGCAGTGGCACCGACAAGGGCAGTGGCAGGGACAAAGGCAGGGACAGGGACAGGGGCAGAGGCAGGAGCTGGAGCAGGGGCAGGAACGAGGGCAGGAGCTGGGGCAGAGGCAGGGACAAGGGCAGGGGCAGGACCTGGGGCAGTGGCACGGACAAGGGCAGGGTCAAGGGCAGGGGCAGGAGCTGGGACAGGGGGCAGGGACAAGGGAGGGGCACGGACAAGGGCAGGGGCAGGGGGCGAGGTGCCGCCTGCTCCGCTGCAGCAGCGCCCCCTTCTGCCGGCTGGCGAGGCCGCAGCCGCGCTCGGCGCTGCGGGCAGCTGCGCATCCCTCGCATCCCGCGGGCTGGGAGGGAGGCTCGAGACACAGGGGAAATGTAGAGCGTGGCTGGGAATTAGAAAAGAGGACTTAAAAATCAAAAAACTAGAAGACAGTCGTTTGCAGGCAGATGCTAGGAAGTCTCCGGATTCACTGGTGGACGGGTGCGTGGCTTCAGTTTCCAGCCTGTGTGTGAGTGTGTGTGTGTGTGCTGCAAAAACAGATAATAAAAAGAATACAAATGAAAGAACATCTGATGTAGTCATCAGATCTAACTACAGCACTTTAATATGAATTGCAGCTCCAGATGTTGTCTTAAGAAAATGAATCAATTAGACAAATGAGGAATTTCTTCCTAAATCATAACAGGAGAAAAAGTCCAGTAGCTGCAGACTATTGTATAAATGTCCTAATGGCTTTCATTCTTCTCATATACCTGTCAGCTTTACTACAAGGCTTCTCATCGTTTAAGTTGTTGTTTACCTTCCTGAATACTGGTTTGATTTGAAAAAGTGTTCTAAATGTTCAACACCTTTTACCCTGAAAATAATAATACATCAGCCTTTAGGAGTTGAACCCAGCAGAAACTGGTGTCACTATTCATAAAATAATTGAGTTTACACAAAAAGTGATTTCTGTAATAGCCCCCTTTTTACAAGTATGTACATTTTATTTAAAATTACTGACTCAAAAAGCAAGGTAGGAAAAAATCACCTCCAACAACTTCCTGTAATTGCGAATTATTGTGAGGGAAACAGAAGGAAAAGATTTTGAAATTATGAGCCATTATGCTTGAGAGAGAGAGGGAGTAAGTGAGAGAGAGGGAGAGGGAGAGAGAGAGGCAGTGGGAAAAAAAGACATCTCGGCTTCATGAAACACAGCTGACAAGCTCGACTAAATTACCCCCGGACCATTACAAAAATCACTTAATTGCCAACCATTTTGTTAGGTCAATTGACTCTAATTGAAAAAATAACAAAAAGCTTATTATGCTGCAAATGCGGCCGTGGAAAATGAGTCTTCTGTTAGGAGGAAACAATAATTCTAAATTTCAGCTGCTGCTAACACTACAAAGTTCAGTGTTTTCTTCTGATAGAATCTACTGTGCAGGGGAAAGTGAATATGCTCCAATTGATTGATATTTCTTTTAATGCTGCCCCCTCTTCCTTCTTCATACTCACAGCCCCTTCAGTCGACCCACCCACCCCGCTGAGTTTTATTTCCCTTCCTTGTTGCCTCGTGGCTCTCTTTTCCGTGGCAGGGTTGATGTCAGTTTTTGTTCCTAAGGCATTTGTGGTTTGGGGGTGTGTGAGGCTGCTGTGACTCCTCTTTTCAGCTTGTCCACAATAACCTCAAAACCCAGGTGAGGGGTTAGGAGAAGCACCTTGCTAAAACCTCCTGGCCCCCTTCGCTTTCCTCTTTTCCTCACACACTGTAATTTTCTTTAAAGCCTGATAAGAGAGAATTGTTTACATATTTTCACAAAAAAAAAACAAAAAAAACAAAAAAAAAACCTTAAAAAGAGTCTCCCCAATGTAAATTAAAAAACACAAACCCTGACTGGTAAATAGGATTCTAATTACTTATAATGATCAAATTTTTAGGAGTGTGTGCATGAGTTTGTTCATTTCTAAAGAAGATAAACTTTCTGGAGCTCCACTATTGTCCCAAATGCAGATTTGAATACTGGAGGTTCATAATGGGATTGATTCTACTCTGTGAAAAGTAATTATTTGTCCATAAAACCAGGAGGCTGCAGAAATGAACTCGGATGGCAACAGCCTTTTGTTCAGCTCCTTTGCAGTGAAGAGGTAGGGAATGGAAGAAACTTCTCAGTAGCCACGGTGCATGATTAAATATTTCCATAATCATGTCTATATGTTTGCTTCTTGCACTGTGTTCAGATTTTTTTTTCTGATTTTATCATTTCAGGGAAACTACCTGACTGCATTGCACTTTTACAAGGCCTAAAACTCCTGAGCCAACTACAGTGAAATGGTGAACAAAAACCTATGTAATACAGCAGGATGTTCCTTCACAGTATTTTAGAAAAAGGAAAAAAAAAAAGCAAAAAACTTTGTGTATGTGTATGCTTTTGCTTTGCCTTTTATAGCTACAGTAGATCTTCCAGTGCTTTTACAAAGCAGTGAGTTAAATACTGGTGGCGTGGTGCCTGTGTAGGCAAACGGCACAGCCATTAGTGCTCAGCATACGTTTTTATTGTTTCTTTATATAGAACCCAATATCACTTACACAGAGGGGGATACAACAAATATATCAGACCATGAAGCACACATATGTGCTGTTTCTTTCTGAGCATCCGCAGCTGTATATAATCAAAGGAACATTCCTTTGGAGTGCACCACAGGTCAGCAGGAACCTTGACACACAGCTGAATTTATGAGTGATCACATTGTTTTAAATATGCATCACTTAGATTTCTACAGGTGTTTAAAGATTTGCCTCAACATTCCCTTTTTTCTCTTTTTTTTGTTCCTTTTGTGAAAGGCGTGCACATGGAAAACAGAGATTGTATAATTAAGGCTTCCATTTGGATGCTAAAATTGATATAATTCACCATAACTGACAACAGAGAATATTATATCATCTCTAAGAAAAAAACCCACTCAAAATGCTAAAAAAAAAAGAAACTTGCCTGAGTGAAATATTGCTTCTAATCAGGGACCAGAAAACCTCGAAATTCACCAAGCCTTGCTGAATGTGGGGGAAATTAGGAAAAAAAAAAAATCTATTTTTATACTTCAAAATACATGTCAGTAATTTTGTCTAAAAGTATAAATCAAAAATAAAAACAAACAACACATTAGAGAAACCCTGTTTGAAACATGTGGCTTAAAATAAAACAAGCATTATTAATTATCTGCTTCCTTTATAGTAGGAAAGATATAAAATTAAATAGATAAAATCTTAAGAGAAACCAATGTGCATGTATTGAGAAAAGACAATGAAGCTTCACAGACCGAATAGAACCAATTCCTTTCAAATAAGCGGGAAAGCCCTACAGAGAGAAATAAAAGTGAGGAATGGTGAATTCTGTAACACTTGCCAGACCAATGAGCTTCATCAATTAATCACAGCAAAATAATCACCACCTACATTAAAGAATAATACATGAAAAGGACAGGGCATAGCTTTAACTTATTCAGAAAGGGCTGACTCCCTAATCCCTCTGAGTCTTGACATGTTAACTGGGTAGCGACTAATTAGATGTCAAAAATTCATAAGCACTCTTTAATATTGCATATATCTGCGGCAGACATTTCAATATGAGAGTTGTATACACAGAAGTCACTATAGCATTAAAACACAGCAGGGTGGGAGAAATAAAAGGAAAACAATAAAAACAATGGCCCTTAAAAACCCAAGAGAATGCCTCCTTTGGAAGTGTGTACTTTCTTATTCAGAAAAGGTATCACCTTAATAAGAATTATAGGCAAAGAGGTTTCACTGCTCCTTGCTGTGTGGACGAAAAGAGGGAGAAAAGACTGACTTATCAAAGACACTGGCAGGTAAATAGTAATTTACTATGCATGCACAATGAACATTACACAGTGCCTTGACACAGGGCGATAATGAAAGACATGCTATTGTGGCATCCATCGAGGGAATTTTTTTTCTTCATTCTTCCTTCCCTTGTCTCTCTTGAGTAAAGAAGCAGTGATGTTTCCTGGCAGCTGCCTCCTGTTTCAAGCCATTTCACATAATATAGAAAGAAGCTGAAGTTTAGTGTATTAAGTAAGTGAGTTAGTTTGCTGGTTTGGCGATATATACATTGCTTGTGTGTGAACTTATATTTCAGATGCACGGCTCTGTATTTTTACAGAACAAGCCTTTTCCTGTCTGAAGAATTATATGAACCTCTTATATACAACAAGGCAGCAAGATTAAAAACAATGCATCATATAATACACTGTTTTATGACTTGCATCCCTTAATTGTAGCTCTCAGGAATAAGAAGAGAGCAATGTGCTCCTGTTTATATGCAGAATTGTCATTCTCTCTTTTGACTAACAATGTGTACTGTACAGGGCTAGTAGTCTGTGGAGATTCCTGTATTTTCTCCTTTACCAACCAGCAAAGTTAAATTTCACTTCTTCGATGCTTCTAACTAGCTCACAGGCAGCAAGCCTTTGAATTTAGCCTGCATGCAGTATGGGAGGCTGTGACTGTAATCCTCCCATAGCTGCTGCTGTTTAAATGTGACATGGCTGCAACTGGAAGGTTTTAATTATTTTAAAAGTGTAAAATCACGTAACATGATGATATAAGGTAAGAAACCTCCTGCAGAGAAAAAATTATAACATTTGTATATCTCATGGGACTAGCATCTAAAGAGACAATGTGGCTCTTCTTGTACGT